CTCTACGGCTGCATTCAAGCCCTCTGGACCCCTCTACGACTCGAAACGGCCATCTGGGCAGTAGTCTACTACTTCTTTACAGCCCTAGGCGTCACAGCAGGTCCGTCCGTCCCTCATATCCCCCTCTGACATCCTCCTAACTCCGGGTATCAAACAGGCTACCACCGCCTCTGGGCCCACAGATCCTATACAGCAACCCTCCTGCTCCGCATCACCCTGGCCCTCGCCGCCGGGGGCTCCGTCCAAGGCTCCGCGCGCTGGTGGGCACGTCTGCACCGCTCGCACCACCGGTACACAGACACAGAACGAGACCCCTACTCCGTACACAAGGGGATCTTCTACGCGCACTTCGGCTGGATGATACTAAAGCAGAACCCGAAGCGGTTCGGCCGGACTGACATCTCCGACCTAAACGCCGACCCCGTGGTCGTCTGGCAGCATCGACACTTCCTGAAGATCGTTATCCTCATGGGACTTGTCGTTCCGATGCTGGTTGCAGGAATCTGGGGCGACTGGTGGGGTGGGTTTGTGTACGCGGGCATTCTGCGAATCTTTTTTGTGCAGCAGGCCACTTTCTGCGTGAACTCCCTGGCCCATTGGCTGGGTGAGCAGCCGTTTGATGATCGTAATTCACCCCGTGATCATGTCGTCACGGCGTTGGCCACGATGGGTGAGGGATATCATAATTTCCATCATGAGTTTCCGTCTGATTATCGCAATGCGATTCGGTGGTATCAGTATGATCCGACTAAGTGGGCTATTTGGTGCTGGGGACAGGTTGGATTGGCCCGTGATTTGAAGATGTTTCGTGAGAATGAGATTGAGAAGGGGAGGGTGCAGCAGTTGCAGAAGAAGGTCGATAGGAGACGGGCTGAGTTGGACTGGGGGACCCCGTTGAGTGAGTTACCGGTTATGGAGTGGGAGGAGTTTGTGGAGAGGGCGAAGAGCAGGGCGTTAATCGTTGTTGCTGGGGTTGTGCACGATGTTGAAGACTTTGTGAAGGAACACCCTGGTGGGAAGGCAATGATTCAGGCTGGTGTTGGGAAGGATGCGACCGCTATGTTCAATGGGGGTGTGTACTATCATTCGAATGCGGCGCATAATCTGCTGTCGATGATGAGGGTGGCGGTTATAAGGGGCGGATGTGAGGTGGAAGCTTGGAAGAGGCCGCAGAAGGAGGTGTAGGGCATTTTTATGTATGATGGTTTTGTTGTTTTGACTTGATGGACTTGTATGGTAGGGTTTGTCCCGATTAGGAAACTCGGAGGTCGATGGAAGTCCTTATCATAATCGCCTCTCAATTTTGCGCCTCATTTTTCCCGGCTGTATCTCCGTAAACATAACCTGTTCAATTCCACGTGCAATGCGACCGATAGACATTCGGCCATCGCAACCTTCCTGACCAAGAGTCCAGAAGCCGCGGCATGACGGCATCGCAACCCAACGATAGCCATCACAGACATCCGCGGAAGCCGAAAGTCTAACCCTTCACTTGGTAATTCTTCCCCACCTGAAGATAAAGCCACTTTAAGATTGATAAGCATTGCTACAAAGTATCATCATCATTGCCCAGGTTGAATGAGGTACCCCGTAAAATCCGACCAAGAATTGCCATTGAACCCCCGGGGCAACCGGGAGTTGACCTAGAGCTTCGTATCCACATGTTGAGCTCATTGCAACCCTTCATCGATGATTGCTCAATGGGGCTTCGAGGTCTCCACCATGAATTGATGGTGACATCATGAAGAATGTGTTCCCCTTGCTTAACCTACAGTATAAAATCGGATCCCTGGGGACCTCGCAGACGCAGACATTATTAGATTCCTGCAAGGTAAATCAATTCTATAATTTAATACACCAATCAGAACCTTCATACACCATGGGCTACGATTTCACCGTCTTCAAAGGATCCAAAGATGGATCCATCCAGAAAGCCACCACCCACCGCGACGACCTCCAACGCGACCAAGTCCTCGTCCGCCTCACCCACTCCGGCGTCTGCTTCACCGATGTGCACTACCAACACGCAGACATGGCCCTAGGCCACGAAGGTGCCGGCGTCGTCGAAGAAATCGGCCCTGAAGTCCACGGACTGCGCAAAGGCGATCGCGTCGGCTGGGGCTACCAACATGACTGCTGCGGTCGGTGCGCCCAGTGCCTAACTGGTTGGGAGACAATGTGCCCGGAGCGACAGATGTACGGAAGTGCGAATCTCGACCAGGGGTCATTTGCCACGCATGCTGTGTGGCGCGAGTCGTTCTTGTTCAAGATCCCTGATGGAATTTCCAACGAGGACTCCGCGCCGCTGATGTGTGGTGGCTCGACGGTGTGGAATGCATTGCATGTGGGTGGCGTTAAGCCGACCTCACGGGTTGGTATTGTTGGCATTGGTGGGCTGGGACACTTGGCAATTCAGTTTGCGGCGAAGATGGGCTGCGATGTGGTTGTCTTCTCTGGTAGTGATAATAAGAGAGAAGAGGCACTGAAGCTGGGTGCGAAGGAGTTCTATGCCACCAAGGGCGCGAAGGAGCTTAAGATTGGGAAGCCATTGAACAATTTGATTGTTAGCACGAGTAGCCAGCCGGACTGGAAGCTCTACGTTAATGTCCTTGCTCCTGGAGCGGTTATTTCGCCGTTGTCGGTGGATAACGAGGACTTCAAGTTCCCGTATATGGGCCTTTTGGCGAACGGATTGCGTGTGCAAGGCTCTATTGTTGCGGCCAGGCAGGTGCATAGGGATATGCTTGATTTTGCGGCACTTCATGGTGTGAAGCCTATCTTGATGAAGTATCCTCTGAGCGTGGATGGCGTGAACGATGCCATAAAAACACTGGAGGGCGGAAAGATGAGATACCGTGGGGTTCTGGTTGTGGAGTAGATCCTCACCGAAGGATGTGTTGGTGTTGGCGTGGGGGGTAGTGGTCACTGTATTCGAAATGGCGTCTATTTGGAGTCTATTGGGTATCTATAATAACTTCTAAGGAAACATGATTCCAGGATTTGTCGAATTATATTCGATTTCATGAACATTGGCAGTCTCCCGAGTTCGAAATCAAAGCCACGTTCACCGCAGCAAACCTGGAAGGGTCAGCATGCTCATGATAAGTCTTGATGAGCTATAAAGTTTTGATGCTATTGAGGGGAAATAGGAAAGATAACAACTCACGCAGTAGCCGCGGCAAAGATCTCAACCCGTCGAGCCCTGACCATCAAGCCCAGTGCCAAGGAAAAGGCGATGTTATACAGCATGATGGTGACCATCCTGATAGCGGTATTCTTTATGAAGTATAATACTATCATTGACGATGCAGGCAGCACCGCGGCTATAATGACACTGAAGAAGTGGGTGCACGCCTTGATCTTCTTGTCACTATACTGCCAAGCGCCATTTTCATTGCTCTGTATCAATAAGTAATTAGCTCTCTGATGGAAGATATTACCCAACAAGAGTCCTTACTTCATATTTCTCACCCCAGCGCTTATGAAACCAAGGAACGACTCGATTGAAGATCAGTCGAGTCAGATTGTCAACACCTTCATGTCTACTAAACAGGGCGATCATGTCACCATCGTTCCGTTCGTGGTAGACGTCCATCTCGGCAGCTGTTTCGAAGAACATATTTCCCCCTTCAGGCCGGTCAAGCCACTCTCGAAGCACGCTCAAGTCACATTTATCCGGTGTGCTGAGGCGCATGAGCTCCCGCTGTTGAATGATAGCATGGTCTATTCAGTCAGATTGGGGTTCTTCCAAGTACCACAACTGGGTGGTGAAAACTAACTAAACTTGTCCATCAAATCCCGCGCTTCTTGAAATTTCGACCACTGCGTAGGATTTCCCTCTTTTAGGTCCCGTACGGAGAAGGGATACAGCTGCTTCTTCTCGTCCTGTGAGTCCTTGTCATCCTGAATAAGAAAGTCGAGCTCCTCTTCGAGGTTCGCTATCTCTGCTTGGTAATAGAGAATACTTTTAATGTTAAGCTTTGTGAAACGTCGGAAAATCGCTAGGCCCCGGTCGGCTTCTATGAACGCGGCGAGTTTGTCGTATCCTTCAACGGGACGGAGGTTAGCGGTTGACATTGTTCTTGCTTATGATGTTTTCTCATATGTCATATTCATTATATTGTGTGCATTTTCAAATTGCGAGAGAATCAAAGCGATGTCTACTTATACGACTCTGTTCATTTCGTAGGGCCTCGACCTTCTCAGCCTAGTGTACAAACATCTACGAGCCCCCATGTCCCGTGTGGCTGTGTCTCGTCTACCCCTCATCCCACAGCCTTCCGGAAGCCTTAGAATATGACTAGAAGCTAGTTCTATGCAGAGTGCAAAGGGAAGGCAGACTCGTAAATGACACTATCTCCTCGGGTAATATTTGGCTTCCGTCACTAGTTTTCACGTAACATACGAGGCTTTCTGCCTCCCTTCTGGGCTATCCTTGCAATCATATGCTGCAGAGTCATGTTTATTATGTATTTAGGTACTATCTGGTGAGCATGGCATATGACGTGAGGCCTCCTCCCTTGGTGTGCTGATGACACTTGCAGCCCTTCGACAATCTCAATAAGGCTAAATGAGAGCGACAGCCTGATATGCTCCAGCGAAGCAATATTTGAGTTTCGTCCCTGTAATACGTTGTGATTCATGTGTTCTGATGTGCGCACTAGAAGTGTGGTAGAAAGTTGCATTTACGGACCCCGCATGAGTGACTTGTTCTTCTATGACTGGGTCATTCACATGATAGTCGGTCTTACGTTGACAAGCCATTCAACGCATAAGGCAGCCCTGCAGGCCGGCCAGCACACTCTCTACTATTAAGCTCTGGATAACGTAGGTAGCAACACTGCCAGGTAGAAAAGTTTGATTTCGAACCAATCAGCCCGTCCCTGTGTTCTCCAACATATTGTATGAAATAGAGCCAGTCTTTTATCCCAGAAAATGTACATACAGTAAACGCCAGCAAGCAAAAACAGATTCATTCTATGGGTACATTAGTGTAGTCGCTATGTCTGTTTCAAATTATCGAGTCGTGTGGCAATCATAGGATCCACAGAGGAAAGATCGATATCCCGACATGAAGTAGTGCCGAGGATAACATCGAAACTGGTACCTTTAACGACGTAGAATTCGGCACAATATGGCGTTTCGTAGCCAACAATAATCCATGTTGCTTGCACTTTACCGAGGGGCGTCAATTCCCCGCGAGTGGTAAGTTGGGTTGGCGGGCCATCATATGGGTCCATGCGGACATTCATTCTTTCGAAGACATCGTGGTCCATGAAATTAGCTTCTGTTTCAAAGTCCACGATCATGCGTCGCCTCAATTGCTTGTCGAAAGTGAATAGGAGAATGTCGTAGATAAAATCATATTTCAAAACACCCTCCTGATCATCGCGCTTTCTTGGATTAGTAGCAGGCACGGTCTGAATAGCACCCGTTAGTCTCTCACACAATTCGGTGTGTCGGAAGCCCTCGCGATTTTCATGCGACACCTTCTCCTTCTTAGCTGGCTCATCCAAAGGCATTTGAGGATGTTTGACGTCCGCTCTATCCCAATACTGAGGCGAAAGTGGGCGCTTTTCTGCGGGGTAGTAATCCCGAGGCGAAGGTAGAGAGGGTTTCTGCTGCCTGGGCGTTTGGTTGAACCAGAAGGGAAAGAGAAACAAGTGTTTGGTTCCCTTCAGCGCGATCCGGAGGGCCTACTTCGCACTTTAGCACCAAGTAAATTTCATATGAAGCCAGAGAGCATACATGGCTTTTTATAGTTCCACTTTGATTGTGGCCATGGCCCATGGCCTTTTTGTAGTTTTTGTCATTTTTCCTCGATTTGCCACGCTCGCGTGGTGCCGTCGGTCTCGGGGCTGAAAGCCGGTCAATTCCTTGTCTGTGTTGCATGCTGCGGATATTGCAATGCAAACCGACGGTTAACAGAGCAGCACTTACATGGGTATGTTCCGGGCATAGCGATATCTGTCATGATGGAATTCTAAGTCTATACAGAGGTTGGCGAAGAATCTGGGGCCATTACGGGCGGTCGCGCTTGCGATTGCCCGGGTGCGCCGGCAGTTATCAACCCTGGGCCTCGCAAGAAGGGCGGGGGTTGCCATGCGGTTAAGTCAGGAAGGGCTGGAGATGAGAACAAGTTTAGCTTGTGGCACAGGCACAACCGCTCTATCCCTCGCGCCTGACCTTATGTGACAGTAGGTCCAAGAGATTATTGGCTGGTCGGGTAATCCTGGCCTTTTTGGAATACGAAATGGAAGCACTGGAAATCATGCCGTATCTGCAGCTCAGCCCACCTAAGAACATCGCTCTTATTCTGGCAATGTGCCTTGTCCAATCACTTTCATGATATGCGCTGCGGCTTTGCCCTCTTCTCCTTTGCATGAGCAGAACTAGAGGATTGCCTTCCCTGCAATACCGCATTAGCGTGGGGCCAACCTCTTGTAAGGTGGCCTTCAGCCGATCGTCAGACGCCCTAGAGTTGCATTTGCTCTGTCCAAAGTACATAAAGAGCCCAATCTGCTCGAGGCTACTCAATTCTTTGAACAGGGCTTGACAGTCCCTGGACCCCAGAAATTTCATCTTGCGCCACCTTCCAACACTCCCCCGTGGCGAGGCAGTGTGATGTATACTTGCTTTTAATACCCATCTGGGTGCCTTTCCATCACTGGTTTGTATCACTTTCACTAACCCCAACTCCCTCTCGTGATCGACTCTCCTGATTGCTAGTTCCCTGACTCAATCCGAGAAGCCTCCGAGAATTTTCTTTTTACCAGCGGTGAGTTGCGCTGACTGTGCGGGACATCAGCCGGCACTTGACGGCCTGAACACCCGTCCAGCGAATGGCATAGCTTGGAGGCTCGACTATTTATGCAGGTGCCACCTGATATGTCTCATTTTGTCGTCGTGCAGCGGGCTGATGTGAGGGGATTGGATCCTCCAATGCTAAGTACGACCGATCGTCCCGGAAGGACAAATCAAGTCCGTGTCAATCTCCCCGCTCAAAATCCTTCGCCCAGAGTCCTTCGCTGTTGGAGGAGCACGCAGCAGCCCTCCTTCCCAGTCATTCTGCGTAAGGGTGATCTCATACATGTGACAGGTTGTTATCGAGTTTTAGAGAGTAGTTATTCATATACAACAGATTCATCAGCTCAAATGCATACAGATGTAGCCTATTTGCCGTCTCTGCGTCATTCTCACAAACCTGGCGATAATCCCGGGAAACTTAGTCTTGCAAGTAGCGCGCTTCACAAGTCCGCCTTGTCGCCAATCTTAGCCCATTCTGTTATCTACCCTGGGAAGCCTGCTTTTTCTGCTGTTCACGCAACTGTTGGCTCTTCTTCGCCAAAGCTTCCTCTTTCTCGCGCTTCTTTTTCTCCTGGGCTGCCTTATCATCTAGAAGAGTGTTCAGTTTGCATCACTTCTTAGTTGGCTAGAAATATAAAACGATAGACTCACTTGCACTCTGCGGTGCTAGCTGGGTTACAGCAACTGGGAGGGCATTCTCATCGCTGGACCGTCCAACATTGCACTGAGTCCCTAAAATCGCATCATACTGGGTATCCAAGCGCGCTTCATCGTCGTTCATGGAAACGTAGAAATTTTGTCTTGACAGTTTGGTTTCGCTTTTCTTCCAAATACTCAGCCGAACTACATCGCGCACTATGTATGAAACACCATCTGAATCGTAGACTGTTTTGGGTATCTCATTGCGCTGCAATTGGATATCTCCCAGCTCCTGGAGCCCCCTTTGCGTGAGGATATTGATGTCCAATCGCTCAGAGACAGCGGCCTTGAGGTGGACAGTTTTCTCGTCTGGCCTGAGGCAGCGAATTTCTATGGTCTTGGGTCCTGTCTTGATAATGGTAACAGGTAAGCGCCTGAATTACATGTGCAAATAGAAAAGTAGGAAAAGAGGGTTCAGAAGCCCTGTGTAAGGTACCAAACGTACCATGGCTTCGCGTTGGGTGCACTTGCTTGCGCTGTTATGGCTCGGTCGGTTCACTCCAGAGGTAGCGTCAGCTTCAAGCTGCTGTCTGTGGATGGCCTCACACAGAGAACGCCGCCACGTTCATATAGACCAGACATTATCTGGACCACCCAAGAGCCGCAGCTTCGACGGACTGACTGTCTATCCACGCGCAACCCCTCGTGGGTGGGATGTGCAACTGCACCATCCACCATCATTCGTACTCCGTAGATCGCATGCACTCCTATTTTCTTCTTACTTTACCCCTACCCTTTGTTGGTTACGCGGGGCTGCATATCTATCTCTTCCTCCTCCTTTCTCACCTTTTTTATCCACCAAGCAGCGGAGCCCTGGTCATAGTATACATTCAGCTCGTGATAATTCGGCATGTCGTGCAGATTGGGCATAAACGAAGATCCGGCTGGGTATTCATGCCACTAGCAGAAACCAACCCCTCACGATCATTGGCGACGATATGTCTCCTTTGCATAAAAGGATCATTGCCTATGGCAGTGCGGGGATGTGCGACCGGAAGGAAACGAGAAATAGCTGCAGATATTCATACTACTAGCCGACACGGAAGTGCCACACAGACAATGTGGAAATAAGTACGTAGTTGAGGATGACATGTCCAGAGTAAGTAATAAAATTGAATGTGTCACCGCTTGCGACACATAGTGCTCCCACGTATCGTTAATCAAACAAATATCCCGCGAATTAACTACTGAAACACGCCCTTGCCTTGTCCAATGCTCTCCCAACCAGCCATGATCCATTCCCTTTCCACAAAAACGCCGCCCAAGGTAACTAACTGGGTTCAAGACAAATCATCAATGCGCCTCAATCGGACATGTGCAACGTAGACAATCATAAGTTAGGATACACCCCGTCATTAGAAATATGTCGGTCATTGACTGGTCGGAACCTTGCTGTGTCCGTGCAAAGCTGGGCAGCACCTGCCCCAAAATACATGTGTGATGCAATATCCGCAGCTGCCCTTTCGGGTATCACAATTAATCGTAAAGTAGATATAAGATTTCGTAGAGTCCCCCAATGGTGGGATGAGCTTGGTGCGCATCCACAATGGGTCAAAGTATCGTCATGCTCAAACATGACATGGATCATGTTCACGAGCGGAACATCCGGATCGTCGTACGGCGTTCAAGGCCAGGTCCAGATTTGAGGATCTCCAATTTCTTGATATCCTTCCTTCCCAAAATGGCATTATAGTTCTTCATATCCACAACCAGGAAGTCACTAGTAAATGTCTTTTCGCGTTGTGCAAAATGCCATGAGACGCCCTTCGCGATGCCAAACGGCTTGATTCTGTCCTTGCCGGTTTTGGTCTGCAATGGGATGAGTTCCTGATCGCAAGGCTCCATCATCAATTCCAACTCCTGCTGTAACTCAATATCCATCAAATTGGCTGATGCTTGTGTATCCAGTGCCATCAATGCCGAAACCTTGGTTGCAGGGTTGCTGCCAACCATGAATACCTCCTCGCTATACTCGCTGTTCGTTGAAACCGGGGAGAGGTTCACCTGGGAGATGCGGTCCAGAGACGTCGCCCGGGTATATCCATCATCACCAGGTAGTCTGAACTCGGTTTGTGGGTCCGATGGGGTTGTTTGGTCGGTGCTAATGCCTGCGCTGGCTAGGGTGGATAATCCTGGAGACACTGCTGCGCTTATCCTACTATTTGACGAAGCGGAATCGGAGTTGCGACCGTCAGTTCTCCGGCTGGAACTCTCAAATCTGTATGAATCGGGGTTGTCGTACGTTGGGATGTCTGAGTGGTTATTCTGGTCGTCCATTGCGGGACGATATAGCCGTACATCATGGTTTCGGTTCGACTCGTGAAGCTGTGGCCGTCGGTTCACCGTGGGCCCACGGCCGTTCATAGGCAGCCTTGCCTGGGACCCCACGACAACGAGCTCATGGTTGCTTTGCCGGTTGCTCATCTTCACTTTATCTTCTGACCTTTGTTGGTGATCGAATATTTTTCGGGGGAGGAAAAGGGAGAGTATGCGTTTCGCGGACCGAAGCAAGCCGCGAGTTCGTGAGGGCTTACCGGCGTCACTGGAGCTGTCTGAAGCAGGAACCGTGGTCAGTCGTGAGAAGGTTCCATATAATTACTGTGATTCAACCGATACTCACGATCTTCAGGTAGAGATATAGCCAAAGGGTTTGTCATTATGGATGCGGAATGCAAGGCCGTTGACTTGACAGCCTACTCCGCGTCGCTCTCTCCGATGACGTACCCAACCAGATAGCTCGAGACGATGAGGAGCAGGGGTGTGGGAGTCTTTCAACAAGAGCTACGGACCTGGATACCAGTCGCGATAGTGCTGCCAGCTGCAGAAAAGCATGGAGGTTCTGGGAGAAATGCCACCGCGAAGAGAGGCGGAGGAGGCAAAAAAGCTTTTTGGCAACACGTCTGAGCAATCTCCTGGGGCTTTTTCCTCACAGGAACGTTAATTGACAGTGGAAGGGTGCCGTTAGTCATCCAGAGTGCCTGGGTAGGCTTGATTGGGCACAGATCAGAGCTCTAATTGTAGCCCATGTGGGAGGGACCCTGGCCAGCTCACGAATGAGAATAAGGGTCGGTGTCAGGGAAAGGATGTGTTGCCAATGAAAAGGTAATATGATCAGCTTCGCCGATGTAACCAGGGAAGCGGCACTTGACTGTAAGAGCCGCCGCTTGTATGCTCAACCCGAGTTCTCTGAGGCCAGGCTAGTGAGCCTCGGGCTGGTGGCATCGGCGGGGAATGGGATGGGTCGTGGCTATTGTTTGATCCTCCGCCATTGTCACTCAAGAAAACCTCTACGTCATGATACCAGATCGCGTTCTTCACTACGGAGTAGTCAATGCCGCCGACAAATATGTGGGTCAACAGACTGGTCTCCTCTCTGGCTAGAGTTCTGAATTGGTGCGATAGTCGATTCTGTAGACAAGCATGACGAGCAACAGTTCCCACCGGGTCGCAATGTGCATACATTAGCTCCCGGACTCCAGTCACAAACGCAATTGTTAGTGAACCTCTTTATTGTATTGCACTGCCTCTAATCACAGCCTCATACGGGCGGAGTCTTCCCTTGCCAAGCAGCTGCCAGGGTCTTTCTCTTCTCCCTGCGATGATCATGAAGTTGTGCCGGGGGGCACTCTGCCGCCAAAGGCGGAGTCGAGGAAGGGGGCAAAGAGCCAAGGCTGTCCTGCGTTGTCACGAATTGCTTTTTCTTCCCTTTCCCCTCGCGAGTCCCAACCCATTCCTATTTGCTTCTGACCTCAACATTTCTGACAAGGCTCTTGTTTTGCGGTGTTCCTGCTGTCAGATTCGTCTTCCAGTCGTCGTGTATTGCTCTGGGTCTGGCAGCGGGTGCCCCGAACTCTGACATGGCATCTCACACTGATAGAGTTTTGTGGGGCTTTTTACTTCAAGCGTGCAATGCATGCGATGCCATGTTCTGGAATTATTCCCCCTCGGGGGATATCATATTTACTTTGTTTTGCAGCGTCACACAGCCGCTTTTTCTCCTTTGTGTCTACTAAAGGAACAGGTACGCTAGGTGAGATAACAGCCATCTCTATCCGCCATAGGATGAAGCTAGTCGGATAATCGTATGTTTTGACTTTGACCTTTGTGCTTATTGGTCTCTACGCTATCTAACCTTTCTCGCCACTTCTACCGTACAACAAACACCAAGCTGTTATCATCTCTGTCAGGTGAGAGAGGCCCTCTGAACTGAGCTACATAGTACAACGAGTGCGGTAAACGCAGTGAGAGTGAAAAGTAGGAGCAGAGTATTCCGCCCTGTCTATGAAGGATCCGAGACGATGGAATGCAAGCCCAAGGGCTGTGACAACTCTGCAGCAGGTGGGTGGTTGCCTCAGCAGTTGAGTGTCAGTCACACGGGGGGAGAAGGGCACATGCACGCCACCGATTTCGGACATAGGCCCGGGTACGGGATGGCCTTCACAGACTTGCTGGCGGATAGTAGAGTTAATGATCTGCAGGTAGCTGACTCTGGTTCGGGAGAGAGAAGGACGGAGTACTCCGAAAGTACATCAATGAGCCAATTGTTCATAGCAATTAAACCACTTGCATTCCGCAGCACAAAGCCTTTGATTTTGTTTCGGTTTGGTCTGGTCCGTTAGGTCGTGGTCTGGTCTAATCTGTTTCAAGCGAGCTCGGATGCACTCAATTTGAATTCACACCTCTGATTTGCCAGAATATTGATCAATTGATTGGCTGATTGCATCGGTTCTGACTCGCCATATCGGGAATAGTTACGTTAGTTAGGGTTGACTGACTTAGCTAGAACTTCTGATTAGTTATCTACAGTACCTACATTGGGATTGGCCCATATTGTAGCCCCGGGCCTACTCTATTCCGGCCTGCGGGCGTGCCTGGACGCCCCGTCTGCCTGTGACAACTTTGAAACCATAATGACAAAGAAAGCCAAGAAAAAGTCAGTGTATTCATTAAGACTTTTAAATCTGAAGAAAAGGAGAAACCAGCTATCTATATCCAGGAAAATCTAGCTACCTCATATATTTCAATATCTGATTATCTGCTTCATATAAAAGTCTAATCAAAACAAATCTATTAATAATACAGTCAACAACTGAAAATTTCTCCTACGTTTTAATTTCTTAGAGCAGTACTTTTCTTGCCAGGTTGAAAGACAAACATATCTTCTTACTTTGTTACTCCTGTTGATTTTGTCTGGGTCCCCTTTCTCCGATATCTTTGATCCGAATCTCTTGAACTTGAAAATCCCTCACATAGCGAACAAACCCTTGTCCTCTTTTTTTAAGCATCGGTTCTAACTCCCCTAGCTGAGCCTTCTACCCATCTTGCACTTCCTGGTGCCACTGAAGCTTGCAGTTATTACTTCAGTGCTGCACTTCTCTGGCAATGCTTCCTTCTATATACGAACCCTTCCCTTGAACATGTCGTTAGACCTTGCTAAGTGGGAGCTCCCTGGAGACAGCCCAACCAAACAAGTGCTAGTGGTGCTCCTCCTAGCTACGGCTTTGCTCGGGCTTCTTTTAGTAAGCTATAGTCAACGCATGCAAACTAGTTATCAAGTCAAGCTAATGAATGACAGGCCGTGTATACCCACGCGTATGTCTTCGCAACACTGATCGCGACTCAAACACCAAATCCTAGATTGAATTCATCACTCTCGCGCCAGCATTTCAGAGGTCTTTCTATCTTTCTCTTCCATCGGCTGTCTAAGATCTGTGTGATCTCTATGTTTCCTATGAAGGACTTCACTCCACTGAAGTGCGGCTTGCTCAACTCAACAGTCGAATTGCTACTTTCATACTTGAGAGTAGCCAATGTGCTCACAATTATGCATCCACACTCGAAAACCCATTCTTACTCACGTCGCATTCCAACGTGGTCAATGTGGTCGAAGACCTTCCCATCAATCTTACTGTATAGTACTGCCTCGAGTATATGCTTCTATCTGCCTACCTACTTGATTCAGTTGGCTGGTGCTTTAGATGAGCGGTTAGAGGTCTCAGAAACTGTGCAGTTTATCAGTCTTCTAGGCACTATTATGGTTCTTTACTTCAGATTGGTCGTTCCGGCATATGCAATTTTCATTCGAGTCACTGCCTCCGTACAACGGGGTGAGTCGATGACTATCAGAGGCGCCTGGCAAGGGTTTTCGTGGTCATCTCGGGTACACTTTTTCAAGTTACTTGGCGAGGTTCTATTCCTGGAAGCAGGCGTCACCGTCGTTATGGGTTTGTCTGTGCTCGGTTTGTGTCATCCTACTATACATGATGATGTCTTTCAGCTTTTTATTAAGTACTTTGGCTAATCTAGTATCATGGGGAGACAAGACACGCTTTAAACACCGAACTACTTAAATTATCTCTTCCTATTGTGCTTATGATATATCTAAAGTAGATATCAATGTTCAAATGCAGAATCACTTTTCGAATTTCGCTCTCCGTTACTAGATTATGTCGGCTCGGGCAGTAGAAGCTACCTACGGTACGCTGCTTTCTCATACATAATCAGAACATATAAGGCAATCGTAATAGAAAAGAGAAAAAGGAAACCTCGTAGCCACCGCGTTCATCTGGATTATCGAATGGGATTAGTTACCCGGCCTTAACAGCCAGATCCGATATCCCGGAAGTACCGGGCACAGATCACGGGAGCGGGAATGGCTGGTGTTTTTACTACTATCGGGGAAGAAAGGAACAGCAGACCAATCATAGTCTTCGTGAAAATTGTTGAATGTCATTGGTTTGGCTGCTACTCCTTTCTCTACCTACCCTGGAGTAGCCAAGCGCTCGCCTCCAAGTACCTGGGGAAATTTACCTTTCAGTGCTACGATCACCTTATGTCTCGGGAAGTGGAGAGTTTTACTAAGTACTTTATCGAGATTATCATTGGGTGGAAATGTCAAGTCTAGAAGGACGGGCCACATGCAAGCCACGTCAGTTTCGGAGACTAGAGCATTAGTTAGTTTATTGTAGAGTGACTTAGGGTGGTTAGTTAGTGGAGGGATCGCGAATGAAACAATTCCAATGTTCTTGGGTTTTACCCGAGTCGGGGCCATTGGAGTCTAGTTGCTTACTAACTTAGTTTAGAATGGTCTATCTCGTCTTGATGCTAGATAGTCTAGTCTGGGTTATGTTGTACTTGGTGACTTAGTGTGGTGGTTAGATTAGATTCCGAGCGAGCCCCTATTCCGTTCATGGTGGGAGGTCCGGTGTCGCCGCTGCATGCTTGGCTTAGGTTCTTCCGTGCTTACGGGGACACTGCTCGTGCTTGTGCTTGTGCTGTTGCTTGTTGCTTGTTGCTTGCTGCTTGTTGCTGCTACTGTTGCTTGTCTTTCTTGTACTGCATGGCATTTAGCTCTAAGATAAGAATGTATCTTGTACGAAGAGTCATTAAGTCATCACGCGAGCTAGTTACAAAGTAAAAGACTTGGGGTAATAATGTACATGAAGTCCAAACCAAATCCACAGATTCAATCCAGTATTATTGCAACTCTCTGATTCACCAACAAAACAAAGGGGAATATATATCGAACGTTGTCAAAAGCAAAAGGACAAGGAAAAAGACAAAAGAAGGGTATAATCATGACTCCACCTCCTCACTAACCACCCACGTCCTCACCTCCCGAATAATTCCCGCCTGGCTGGACTGACTATCCTCATCCGACAATCTCGCTGCCGACACAGTCGTGATATTCCCCTGTCCAGCCCCCATGCCCATCAACTCGTGCTCGCCGCTGCGTGTGAATTTGCTCTCCGTGGGATTGGCCGACCGTGTCGTCGACCATTTCGATCGGTTATTTGTCGATCGGTAGTCCACGCCTTGGATCCGGAGGCCGTTCGATTTGAGCATGTTCAAGAAGGGTTTAAGCTGCGCCCAGCAGGCTGTCACGATGCTGAGGCATTGGATTGTTTCCACGCTGATGGTTACGCCCCAGGTGGCGAAGGAGGGGTCGTGCGTTGCGTCGTTCTGAGAGACTAGGATGAGTTCGACGATGCTGACTAGGATTACTCTGTTCGGAGAAGTGATTTGTTTAGTTGGTAGTCCGGTCGGATGATAGGGCAATTAGACTGACAGGACTCGAGATAGAAAAATACTAGCGAACACGAACTTGCGTTTCCAGGAGGTTTGAATGCGCGCGATTAGGTAGAGTGCTTGTGAGGTGATCATGGTGTCGGTCACAATGTTCATGATTCCCGTAAAATAGTGCCAGGCTATCTGTTGAGCTGGTTAACCTTGTCGTCTATATCGTCGGGGTAGGGTAGTGGGATAGTACCAGGTTCATGCATTTCCCCGTGTAGTAATTCCATGTCTGCGGTACGCTGCATTGAAAGGAGGTTCCCAGTAGACATATCACGGCCATCACAGTCACCGATATTTGCACCAAGTTGGCGACACGGTGGTCTTTGGCCGTCGGCGTCAGGTTGCGGATGAAGCATGAAAGGGAGATTTTCGAGAAATAGAGACTGGGTATGTAGAGGAGAGCGGCGGCGTATTGCGACTGAAATGATACCGATTGTTCTCAGTGAGGATTCCGGAGGATGAAGGCGACCGCAGAAAGGCACATTGCATACTGGTGCAGGTGTAGCTCATACCTTCATCATGTTGTCGAAGCGCTCCGGGGTAAGCGTGGAGTAGTGGTATCCATATCCGTTTGCGACGGCCATCGATACAGCGATGGATTGGCCGATACAGAAGATCTGTCGCGCCCCATCCAGAGCAAGTAGTTAGTCTGCTGGAACCATTGTGAGGGTCTAGGCGGCAGATCGACATACCAGCGATACAACTATAAGATAGTCATCGTTTGTGAGCGTGCGGAACGAGCCGTACTTGGTTCCCAGTCGGAAGATGACGCTCAGCGAAGCAGTCACGAGCAGGAACCATGTCGATACATTGACGGCCGGATCTTTGGTGTCTCCAGTGAACCGTCCCATGGAGGGCAATCAGAGTGCTGACGCTGATTCTCGGCGGGAATCATGTCACGCAGCGATCTGGAACTGTTGGAGATAATAAGAGTCGGGTGATGTCGCTGGGCCAGGGCTGCGAGACCGGGCACGATCTGGAGTAAATAATAATACGGAGTACCGGTGCCGAGAAATCGATCGATGCAGGGCCTGTGACTGAGGTAGATTATTTTCACCCGGAAGCACCAGGGAAGGGGAGAAGCCCGGACAGTCATTCTGGTGTGGGCAGAGAGAGGGTTCTTGGAAAACGCCCCCTCCCTCCTGAGGGAGGATGGGAAATCGCATGGCCAGCTAGGATCCGGATCCTGGTGTGTTCATTTGTCAACCGAGCGGCCGACATCAATTGGAGAAAGGCCAATAGACTTTGGCTACTCGCAGGGAAAGTCGGACCAGGATGGTGGTTGATTGCATGGAAGCCGACGGTGAGACGACGGCGGGGGACAACCCTGGTCGGGTTTAATTTACTCTGGGCTGGCCACTTTTCATTCGTATCTTGGCCCGGCCTTCGACCGACGGATTAATTGTCTCCCTTCCAAGCATTATTTTCGATATTAATGTCTGTTATTAGTCTTCGCTCCGACCACGGTCCCGTCTCCCACTGATTCTAGATCGAACAGGTGAGCCTAATTTCTCTTATCCGACCTGCCTTCTTTGTCTTGTCTCCCGCTCAAGCGATTCGCGGTACCACATCAGCACTAGATCCTTGGATCGATCCAACACACGCGGCCAGACAAAATGAACTGTGCAATGAAAGTGCTCACGGGGATCTTCTTTGATGTGTTGGGCTGTTTCTATTTTCCGATCGCCAACCTGGCATCCATGTCCATAAGCATAGGACTTTGGGGGAGAAAGCCCCAAGCAATTCACGGAAGGGAGGGGAATTGGAATGCTGGCTGGCCTAACTCGATCAAACTAGAATATCATGCGGTCGCAGAGGCGAGTCCCACCGGAAGAATTGATAGCTGAATCCGAGTCGGGCCCACCAGTCACAATTACAATTTGCCAGTCACGATTGATTCTGGCTCATTATCTAACAAGTTAACAAGTCCGTTGCATGCAAGGTGTCTGCGCCGGGCGGGGACTGGGGCCTGCCATCCACCCGTTCTCTAGTCTAGCTTCTAACGCTAGATTAGCAACCCCCATTAGATACAAAGTAGTCTAGATATTGTTAGACCGGGGGTGGTCCCGATGGCCTCCACTTGCCACACACTGACCCTAGTACCCACAAGGTCCTATCGGTGGTTACATCTCCTCCATCGGGCCTGACCTGACCCGCCTCCAAGAAAGCTTACTGCGTGCTGCGTGCTGCGTTCAGCTTCTGTTATTGTTCAGGGTCGTCGTTGGTTACCCCTGGATTCATATAACCTTCCTACTCCGGCTGGTGAGCCCGGCGCCCTCCGTACGTGTACTATGTTAGGTTATGTATGGACGCCCCGGTGCATGCTAAGCAACGACACTAGGCACGGTAGTGGCGTTAGAATGCTGCATCTCGACTAACGGCCTTAATTTCTGCTGCATCTCGCTTCTTGACGTTGCAGTGGACTAGGTGGCCAGTTGTCTGTTATATTAATCGGTCGCTCCCTGGACACCGCGCTGCGTCTGCAACTCTCCGCCCTCACGCCGGTCGTGGTCTCTGCAATTGAGTTTTCACCATGGCGTCCTACGAATTGAAGAACCGAGCCAACTCGGCCAACCGAGAGGTAACCGGGTCCGACTCGGGAGCGCGTGATGATTTGGCTCTTGCACGATTGGGCAAGAAGGCTGTCCTGAAGGTATGTCCTAGCTTTTCGATACTGTGCTGTGGAGATTTGGAGAAACTAATGCTTGTCTTGTGCTCTTGCAGCGGAACTTTGGTATTCTCTCAATTATCGGTCTCAGTTGTACCATTCTCGGCACCTGGGAGGGTATTCTATCGTGAGGCCATCTATGGTTGTGAGAGTTCGGAACATTGCAACTAACAGAGACCAGGACGTTTACTATTCCCCTCGAAAAGTCGGTTATCCCACGTCCAACCTATGATTGGACCATGAACGCAGCTGACTGAACACACAGTGGTGGATCTGCCGGTGCAGTATACTCCTTTATCTTTGCATGGACGGGAACAGCCTGCTGTTTCGTGCTGCTGTCCGAAATGGCGTCCATGTAAGTCGAAGTCAGGACATCCATTCTCTGGTGGTATACTAACTAGCCAAGGGCGCCGACTTCCGGAGGCCAATATCACTGGTGTGCCATGCTTGCACCTTACAAACATATGAAATTCCTCAGTTACATCACAGGTGCGCTCTTCCATTCTGTTATTACAGCGACCGTGCAGTTTACTGACCATCACTGCAGGATGGTTGACCGTGATCGGATGGCAGGCCGCCTTTGCATCGTCGTCTTACATGGCTGGAACTGAGATTCTGGGTGCCATTATCTTGGGTCGGAACAGCTTCAACTCGCAGCCCTACCAGGGTACCCTTCTGATGTGGGCGGTTGTGGTCGTAGCTCTTCTTGTGAACATTATCGGAGGAAAGTTCCTGCCTCGCCTGGAAACCTTCATCCTCATGATTCACATTCTGGGATACTTTGGTGTGCTCATCCCCATGACATATATGTCCGACCACAAATCGACCGAGTCGGTCTTCAAGGACTTTACCAATGGTGGAAATCTCTACACCGATGGTATATCCTTTTTCGTCGGTATGACCGGTTGTGTGTTTGCCTTTGCAGGTGGTGATGCTGCCGTGCATGTAAGTTGTCCACCATGTACTGCACAATGGTCAATATCTGACTTCTACAGATGGCCGAAGAAGTAAACCATGCCACGGTCGTCATTCCCCGTGCCATTCTCCTCAGTGTTGCCATCAACGGCACTTTGGGATTCACCATGCTGATCGCCACTCTCTTCTGCATGGGCAGTGTTGATGCGGCCCTTGAATCTCCTACGGGCTACCCCTTCATGGAAATCTTCCAGCAAGCAACCGGCTCGGTCGCAGGTGCATTGGGCTTGTCCTCCATCCTCGTTATTGTCGGTATCTGCGCCGCCCTGGCCATGTTGACTGCCACCTCTCGCCAGTTCTGGTCGTTCGCTCGCGACCGTGGTGTCCCTGGCTGGCGAGTCTGGAGCCACGTATGTTTCCATGTGCCTTGTATCGTACACATGAAGATAATTTTTAACATCAACACAGGTCTCTAACCGTACTTTCCTCCCCACCTACTCCATCCTCCTCACCATGACCATCTGCTGCCTGCTTGGTCTGATCAACATCGGGTCCGCCGTCGCCCTCAACGACGTCGTCTCCATGGCGGTCTCGGGTTTGTACTCCTCCTATCTGATCGTGGCGGTTCTTCTTCTCTGGCGCCGGTGCAGCGGCGCCATCAGTAACTACAATGCCAGTGACGACACTGTGGTCAATGTCCCTGGCGCTAAGCTCATGTGGGGTCCGTTCCGTGTCCCAGGCATCTGGGGTATCTTGATCAACACTTATGCGGTGATTTACATCGTGATTGTCATCTTCTTCAGTTACTGGCCTACTGAACTGCCAGTGACGGTGACGAATATGAACTACAGTGTGGTGGGTACTATGGGTGTCGTTATTCTGGCTATTATCTATTATGTATTGAGGGCTCGTCATGTCTACACCGGTCCTGTTATTGAGATCTCGTGAGGATGAGAGCCGGACAGATGAGACAGGTAACAGGGGGGAGAATGTGGCAAGCACAAGGGTTACGGATGAGTGTGCTATCAGTATTGATTTTAATTCTCTGTTCGGGATTTTGTTGCTTGATTGGGCACTAAAGCCGCGTACATTAAAAGTTACATAGCATTTATTCCCTTTCTAGAAATACCATTTAGTATTATTTGCTGCAATCACTGGGATCCGATGCTACCCAACAAAAGCCCTGCTTCGGGCGGAAGAAAATACATATTCGCATGGTAGGATGCATACCCTGGCAGTGCTTCAATATTATCATCACTAGGGACGGGACTGCAATAACGATATTAGGCTGAATGTCCGTCTCCCCGACAATTTCCCGAAAATTATCAAAGGGGGTAATTCCCATGTGACTGAGTGTGAATGTGAGCAGCACATGCGCATGTGCGCATGTGCTACGCCGACCTGCATAGACTGGATAATAATGCAAAATAACAAGCAGATCTTCAACAGCAAAGGGGCTGTGGTTTAGTGGTATAATATTCCCTTAGCATGGGAGAGGTCCGGGGTTCGATTCCCCGCAGCTCCAGCTGTTCTTTTTTGTTTTTTGTTTTATCACCCGCAGCAGTCCCACTCTTCATTCCATACGAGTGATAGAAACATTCTCAGTGTTTGGCCTCCGCATTGGAACAACAATCATCAATGCTCTACAATGAGCCTAGAAGGATTTCGTAATTCTTGAACATAGTCCTAAGCAGTGGCCGCCCACTCCACTATTTCTTCACCTACCAAAATTTCTCTATAGGACGCTAACATAACATCATCAGATACACTGACAGGTCGCTCTTTCGCGGCAATGGCTATGGTCTGGCTCGAGCACGTTCCACTGTCACAGCAAAACCCTGAATATGTCTTTCTTATCTTATGTAGAGTCTATATGTCCGGTCGCATGGAGGGGTAGGTAGCTATTTACACTCTACAGCAACGCCGCTGAAGTCATGGAACCAGATCACCAAATTCCAGGGTATATGAAGCTTGCTCTCTGCAGTCCTCTGCAACATGAAGTTGTCCTTCATGACAAGGTGTACTGAGCCCTCACATAATCCACCCATCTCACAAGCATCACGATGGACCCAGCCAGTGTAACAGACTTCGTCCATGACACCTTCGACTTCATAATCGTCGGCGGAGGCACCGCAGGCTTTGTCCCCGCTGCCCGTCTATCAGAAGATCCCAATGTTCGCGTCGGAGTCATCGAAGCCGGGGTCTCGCGACTCGGTGATCCGAAGGTCGATACACCTACCGGGATGGCCATGACCCTGAAAGATCCAGAATATGACTGGTGCTTCCAGACTTCTCCACAGGTGCGTCTACACCACTACCACAGACCAGTACACAACCAAAGCTCACATGAAACAACATACAGAGCGGCGTGAACAACAAAACCTACGCCACCCATCGTGGCAAAATGCTCGGCGGCTCCAGCGGCTTAAACTTCATGATGTCAGGCCGACCAACAGAAGAAGAAATCAACGACTGGGGCAAGACCACAGGAGTGAAGGGGTGGGAGTGGTTTGATTTACTGCCGTATTTCAAGAAGCATGAGAAGTTGGAGGTGGATCAACCGAATATCACGTCCCGGGATACGAGTATCTGTCCGCTGGATCCTGGTCTACATGGGACTGAGGGACCGATCCACCATTCATTTGGCACCTGGCATGCACCGTTCGAGAAAGACCTCATACCTGCTCTCGATACTGTCTCTGGATTGCCGCGACCAGAGAATCCGTATGCTGGAAACCACCTGGGGTTCTACCGCACGCTGTTCACCATCGATCGCACTGGCAAACCAGTACGCAGCTACGCCGCGAGCGGATACCTGGCCCCAAATTCCAACCGTTCGAATCTACGTGTCTTGACAGGCGCGCTCGTATGCAAAGTCACTCTCGGGACGAACGAGCACAGCGAGCGCCAAGCGACAGGCGTGGAATTTCTCCATCATGGGACGTCGTACACCGTCCATCCACGGAAGGAAGTCATCCTCAGCGCCGGCGCCGTGCAGAGCCCTCAGCTCCTAGAACTATCCGGGATAGGCGACCCGAACGTCCTCGGCCGAATCGGCATCCCGTGCATTGTTCCGAACATGGATGTGGGGAATAATCTCCAAGATCAAGCGCTGTGTTCGGTAGTATATGAACTTGCACAGGGGCATACGTCCGTCGACTCGCTACTCCGGGATCATGCTATCTTCGAAGAACACCAGAAACTCTACGAAGAGAAACACACCGGCGCATTGTCCGGATCACTCAGTATAACAGGCTACACGCCCTACGCGACAGAAGTCGAGCAACACGACCTCGAAAAGATAGTCGCCTGTTTCCTGGATCCCAAAAATGCATCAACCAAACAGGACACCGTGCTCCAGAACAAACAACGGAAGATTATCGCAGCACGAATCCAGGACCCTACCTGTCCCTGTATCCAGTACATGTGCGCGCCTGAGAACTTCGATACCGCGCGCGCGGTCGATAATCTTGGGGCAGTCATGTCCGGTCCGCCGTCTGGGTTTAATGATTGTTATTCTATCACGGTGAGCCAGATGCATCCTGTTTCTCGCGGGCGGGTGCACGTGGTGTCGGATGATCCGATGCAGACGCCGGATATTAGTCCCGGGCTGTTGGCTCATCCAGCTGATGTGGATGTGCTTGCTGCGGGGGTGGGGTTTGCGGATAGGGTGTTTCGGTCGGAGTTGGTTAAGGGTAAGGTTGCGAGGAGGGTGAGGCCGGATCCGGGGGTGGATGTTGGTGTTAGGGAGCAGGTGAAGGGGTTTGTCAGGGAGAGTGCGGTTCCGTTTCAGCATTTGCTTGGGACTTGTGCGTTGGGGATGGTGGTGGATGAGAGGTTGAGGGTCAAGAGGGTTAAGGGGTTGAGGGTTGTGGATGCGAGTGTTGTGCCTATGATGGTGAGTCCGTCGTTGGCGGCGGTGGTGTATGCTGTTGCTGAGAGGGCGGCGGATTTGATTAAGGAGGATTATGGGTTGAGGTAATTGCTTAGGGGTATTGTAATGTGGGTTGGATGGTTTGCGTGGGGATGTCATCACTATAATGTTCTTTGGCAGGCAAGTTCAGCTTATTTTGGCGAACTTACTACTTGAGAGTGAAGTCTTTTTCTGGAGTGTTGTAGTACTCACTTGATGTTTTACTGCTACCTGAGGTCCATATCAGAGGTTGATATCAATGTAATAACCAAATGGCAAGCATTACTTATTATCAATAGAACATATGTAGCCACAAAACTCCCAGATAATTATCATCATAGCACATTATGTACATCCCACGCAAACTCAACTCACGTACTAAGCTCACTCCGAGGAGTTCCCATTACTTCGCTTATCGGTCGATGGTTCGCCTCTTCCGATATGCCTTCCATTTCAAAAGACGGTGAAGGCAGTTCTGCGATTACCGTTTCTGCCCTGGAACTGCGAGGATCCCATGGAGGTTTGACCGCTTCAGCCATTCCAGAGGATGCGTGTTGATCCGAATTCGGTGTCTCGTCCAATCCACTCCCCATTTGCGATCGGCGTCGATACAGAAAGCCTAAAGCCCCAGCAGTGGACATTGCCAGCACTCCTAGCGGAATCCCGAGACCGATCCCAACCTTTTGTGCGACAGTAAGACCATTGCCGTCATCGGTGGTAGCTGGAATGGAGGATGCTGATGCTGCTGTTGTTTCGGCCGCCACGGTGCTTGTACCATGTGGAGATGTAGAGGTGGATGTTGCTAAAGTAGTACTCGAGGTAGATTTCATTGAAGTGGTGCTGGAAGTACTGCTAGTGGTACTGCTGGTCGGGTTATACAAGTTATAAAACTCAGGCGGAGGGTCATCTTTCTGACGCTTGCTCACGCCAATCTTGACACTTGTGAGTACTGGTGGGTTAAAAATACCGAACATGTCCAGTGAGTCGAGCTCGAACGCGCAGCCGGACTCTCTATATTTGTCGCGGGTTGCGTTCCAGACATGGCTGTAGGGGTTTGTGACGTTTACTGTGATTCCATCAGCCTGAGTCAATGGTGACAGTCGTAGGGGTACTGACATAGCAAGGAGATCTTGGTGTTGCACACTTCATAAAGAGAAATACGCGATGTCACCACGTCCCAGGATACATTGACCAAGTCTCCCACGATGAACTGATATTCCTTTGCTGTCGGATAGGTAAAGCTCTCTGCTCGTACAAAGCATGTGCATTGAAGAGCGAGCAGAAGGCATACGAGGTATGCGGTTCTGCCGGGATCTCGTTGAAGTTTCATCTTAGAACTGCGTTCACTCAGCGTGCACAGATGATGGTCAAAACAGCACTGATCCTCAGCAGGGGGGTCCGAGGTTTTGAGAGATCTGATATTTGAGTTGATTGGTGTCTCAGCCACCCCGGGTTACTGTTCTGTTTTTATCCCGCGGGGAAAGGCTATCCCTGTCGGTCACTGTCTTTGTGTTACGCAGATAGGCCGGTTAGTCATGAGCAAGTGAATTTCGGCGGGAGTTCTATTCATTGCTGCCATGTGTCGTCTTAGGCCACGAGGCTCAAAGTAGATCGTGGGCATTGGTTTTGATGTAAGTTTTCGTTAGCTATGTTGTGCTTCGAACAACAAGAGGACAAGGTTACATTGTGCGTTGATCATGCGATGCACCTGCGCCCCTGCGGCTTGATTGGGATGGTCGGAATTATGATGGCTCAACTCGGGGGTTCTGGCAGTTGGACGTAGTGGTTTACCTTGATTTTGAGTTCGCCAGTATCTAATGTTGGGATGTTTGGTCGTATGAACTTCTCGCTCCGGCTGGAGGACAAATGAACAATTACTCTTCCTTTCAGAGAAGCTACCCGATGATCCTAATATGCCATCATTCCCTGGTCGATGTTGAAATAAGACGAGGCTATTTGCACCCTCTAATACACTGGTCGCTGATGAATTCTGTGCAAAGGCTGACACCGTTGTAATTGTGCATGTGTGGGCCATCACTGGCCTTTGGTCATCTTCAAGGTCTCAAGCGGTTAACAAAGGATAACGGTTCGTGAATGCTCTGACCAGACCATTGGCAGTGTGGTGGCAGTGGAGAAGTTTTTGGATTGAGCGACAGCGACGTACAGCATTTGGGGAGGGGTGCTCTGTACAATGTAGAAATGTGTCGCCTGGGCGGAAAATGGCATTGCAACAGGGACAAACTAGGAATAGTCAACTGACGGTAAGTACACATAGGCTAAGCGACTGGATAGGACTAAAAGAAGAAAAAAAATGGAGCTGCGGGGAATCGAACCCCGGACCTCTCCCATGCTAAGGGAATATTATACCACTAAACCACAGCCCCTTTTTGTTGAAGAACGCCTGCAACTTTTGCTTTATAAGACAGCCCTATGTCTCGCTTCTCACTGCTCACCCATCACAGTAATTTCATCTGGTGAACGGCCACCATAACCCACCACGAGCTGTACAGCGCATAAAACGGCCTTTGGTTTTTATATTAAACTCCTTCAGAACTTATTGTTTGAACCTCTAAAGTTTATTGATGGCAATCACCTGCATTTTGCGTTGTCCATCCGTACCTCCTTTTATGTTGTCTCTGCTGGTGATGGTTATATATCTTCCCTACACTTTCTGTGGATGTTCGATATTTGTGGATACTACTTACCTACAAAGAAACACGAACTCATTCAATAAACAAAAGCCCGACCATGAGAAGCCGCGACCAGGATGGATCTGACACATCAGACTCCCGAAATACTGTACCCCGTCATACCAGCTTAAATAGCAGACAGGGAGAAAAGTCCGCGGGACCCGTAATTGGCAGTTATGCAAGGGATTGGGTACAGCTGCGCAACAAACAACAGCCCAAGCTGCACCAAAGTCACGAAGTCACCTGGGGTAGCAACTGAAAATTGACGACTCTAGGCTGTGATAATGATGCATCTATTCTCCTACCTACCCACGGGTATTGCAGGCTTCCTGGGTATGTCTACCGGTGGCATAGGCCCGGGATATCCGACCACCATGGACAATGGCAGTGCAGTCCTGGCCCAGCATCTACCGCAGAAGATTGATATTCACCATCACTTCGTCCCCGATTTCTTTCGTCAGGGTACGTGGACATACATTCTCTGGACTGACGACCCCGCACTAATTAGTGTAACGCACATCTAGCTGTTGAAGATGCAGGCGGCGACCCAACAGGCTTGCCAGTCCCCGCATGGACCGTCGAGGACTCTCTCCAGGACATGCAGGAAAATGGTGTCCGTAAAGCCATCCTTTCGTTAACCACCCCAGGTGCAGTCATTACTGGCAACAACGACACAGCTCGGTCGCTAGCCCGAAGGGTCAATGAATATGCCGCCAATCTGCGCGACCAGTACCCCGAACGGTTCGGATTCTTCGCCGCGCTGCCTTCTCTCCTGGATGTACCCGGTACATTGGCTGAAATCGAGTACTCCCTCGACACACTCAAAGCCGACGGGGTCACTGTATTCACTCGATACGGCGATGGAAACAACTACCTAGGTCATTCTCAGTTCACACCCATCTGGAAGGAACTGAATGATCGGAAAACCGTGGTTCATATCCATCCTACTATGCCTGAGGACACTAATTGGATTGATCCGATTATGCCGCCTCCGATGCTTGACTTCCCACAGGAGACGACACGGACTGCAGTGGATATGATTGTTAACAACGTGACGCAGCAGTTCCCGAACTGTCCCAAGATCCTGTCGCATGCCGGTGGAACCTTGCCGTATCTGATCTCGCGGGTGGCCGTAACTTCTCGGGATACGATGGCCCAAAAGGGCCCCTATGGAAAGTCCTACTTTGAGTTCATGGAGGCATTGCGTGGGTTTTATTACGACCTCGCTCTTTCGAGTGCGCCAGCAGTCCTGAATCTCTTGCTGGACTTAATACCGCATGACCATATTATGTATGGTGAGTATTTCCGTTGCTGGCATGTAACACCGGATGCTAACAAAAGTACCAGGGTCTGATTACCCGAATGCTCCTCCGATCAAAGTAGCTGGATACCGGGAGAATCTAGATGCGTTCCATATGAACGAGGAGCTTCGGGATATGGTCTATTTCGGGAACGCGCAGAAGCTCTTACCGAGAGCTTGAATTCAGTATGGCAGGTTGACTACAGGAAGCTCAGGGATGAGGGACTAGTATACCACAGACGGCACACTACCTGGACTTCAACTTGATGCACTTCAATGGAGGTAAAAGTGATTGGAATATGAGCGAAGAGATACATAAACAGAATAAGTTATGCAACGACCGGCTTTGTATTTACCTCAGAATACAGTCAAATATGCCAGAGCCCCCCCCAAAAAAGTAGCTTGCTTGGGTGCCACACAACGCATTTCAAACGTCTCACATAAGAAATGAAGACGATAGTGTCCATGTATCCCCTGTTATCTCCTAGGGTGCTTGAACGCCACCAGAAAGGTACCTTCCCCATCCAATCCTTGAACCAGCTAATACCGAAACTCCTCCCCAACAAGCTCCTCACTCAACCTCCACAAAGCATCCACACTCCCCGGATCCCTCGCATGCTCCGCAGGCTCACCAACCACACTATTCTGCATAAACACCGGCGCCAGAGCCTGCAACTCCGCATCCAGCGCCGCAATCAACGGCGTCGCCGCGATTTGAGTATACGTCTTGAACCGCGGCTCCTCGAAAACAAACTCTTTGCCGGTATTCTGTTTGGCGACTGCAGAGATCCCAGAATAATCGTCCCAAGTAAGGTGGCTACCCAGCTTAGTATCTCCGTTGTAGCCTGGATGGACGGCGATGGCAGCAACTCCCTTATGTCGTAGTCGCTGGGCCAGACCATATGTGAATAGGATGTTGGCCGTCTTTGCTTGACCGTACCCGGTCCAGGGGTCGTATTCTTTTCCGTCGGAATAGTTCCAGTCTTCGAAGCGGAACGGCGAGATAAGGTATCCGGAGCTGGTCAGATTGACGACACGAGCGGACTCAGCAGCCTCGAGGGCTGTCACGAGCAAGTTGGTAAGTAAGAAGTGGCCGACGTGGTTGGCCGAGAGCTGTAGCTCTATTCCCTGCTTGTCGAGGGTGTATTCCTTGATTGCCATCACCCCGGCGCTGTTGATTAGGACATCGATATTGGGTGCCGCGGCGAGGATCTCGTCTGCGGCGCGACGGACGGATTCATGGTCGGTTAGGTCCACCTGTACTGCGGTGGTCCTGATGGTGTTGTCGATGGCGTGGATCTCGTCGAGCACGGGATGGACTTTGCTGAGGGTGCGTGAGGCAATGAGGATGTGTGCTGGTGCAGCTTTGGCTAGAGATGTGGCTATCTGGCTGCCAATGCTGGGCTTGCCGGCACCGGTTATGACGAAGGTCTTGCCTTTGATGTTGGACTTGAAGGCTTCAATGACCTGTTCGCTGGTGGCTGTTGCGTCGAAGATGGGCATGGCGGGTGCTTGAAGATGTGGTGAATTGGTTTGGTTGGAAGCTGAATGTGAAGAGAGATGCGATGAATATCTGTCTGGCTTTGCAGGGGATTCTACAGGGCTTTATATTTCTGGGAGTGCTTGATCGTAAACGAGGGAGCTCCGTCTTTGCCAAATTTACCTGGGTCAAAGCTATAATGTGGGCCATTCAATCACTGCCATCCTGCTGCTGCTTAGAAATAAGAAAATCCATCGAAAACATCACCAGGAGATAGACCGGCATTATCCGTAAACTCCGAGTCTCCATCCTTCAAATCCACCCTGCTTACACCGTAGACGACTTAGTAGGTAGTTATTATAACTGGCGCAATTTGTAATCATCCAGAGGATGGTTATGGCCCCAACAACTCTGATAGCCTATGTCTCTGCTCATAATGCAAAATAACAAGCAGGTCTTCAACAGCAAGGGGGCTGTGGTTTAGTGGTATAATATTCCCTTAGCATGGGAGAGGTCCGGGGTTCGATTCCCCGCAGCTCCAGCTGTTCTTTTTTTTTTGTCTTTTTCTTTTTGCCCCTTCCCGCTTCTCCTTCCCGTGCTATGCGCCCTTCCTGTTCATGCGCACCATGACAATTTCTTTTCACGGCCCGCGTGTTTTGTGTTGGATCTTACTAGAACGAGCTCATTCATTCTCTTCAACTCCCTCGCCAATCAGTTCATCATTAAAGCAGGCAGACTCGCTTCAGAAACTTCATTGGTACACCGACTACACTGAACCCATAACGTAATCGGCTACGATCGCCCACTTCGACTGCAATCAGAAGAACCCATTGTAACATCTTATTATGACCTCTAAGCAT